AATTTTTAGACTCATTTCAAATGGTTAATAAATAACTTCGAATTATTATTCTCTTCAGTTTTCCTCTAATTTTGTAATTTATTTTATTACGAACATCTTTTCACAAACAACCTGTAGGTTTCCATCGTCATTTTTATTTCTGGTTGGGTTGTTAGAGTAAGACCGAGATAAATGAAAAATTTTTACTTTGGCTTAGTACTAATAATTTTCGAAATCATCCAGTTGGTTGTATAGTCTTTTCTGTCAGCACCTGTGAATCGACCTCAAGCATGGGATGACTGTCATGACAAGAAAAGTAAATAAATGGGTTGCTAACTTAGAGTAGGAAAGAGAAGGAACAATAAGTAACCAAATATCGATCGGGCGCCATGTTTTTGGTGCCAGAGAAGCATGGTGTCATTTGTGTAGTTTAGGCTTTTTTACGAAAACTTAATCAAAGTCAGTATTATTATTAAGTGATTAGGTACAATGGTAGTGTGTTAAGCTTATGGCTGTGAAAGTCGAAGTGGAAAAAGAAATCAGGAATTACAGTTTACTGGTAAAATATAATGGGTGTTTGTTAAGGGTTTGTTTTTGAGGTGACATCACTTTTTCCAGCGACTGCCAATAGCCAATTTCCTTGGTGTATTTGGTCATTAATTTTATTTTATATCGTTAGCACAGCACTACATATGTTTCGGAAAACTTTGTTTCCATCTTCGGGTGCCGTCAAAGTTTAGAAACATTAAAAAAAAGCACACATGGAGACGAAATCGAATACACCTTCACACGCTGAAACAAAAAGATGGGGTTTCTTGTGTTTTAAAAATTTTAAACTGTTTGTAATCGTCCCCATGTGTGTTTTTTAATGTTTTTATATTTTGACTGCACCCGAAGATGGAAACAAAGTTTTCCGAAACATATGTAGTGTTGTGCTAACGATATAAAATAAAATTAATAACCAAATATACCAAGGAAATTTTTATTTATATAAAATTTAAATTTTTCAGTATTTTCGTTGGCAATAAATATATACAAGGGTGATGCAATAGGTTGTACAAAATAACCAAAAAGAGCAGACAGGAAAGTGTTGGACATATTTTATACTATTTTAACAAAAATTAGATACGGAAAAATATGTTTAATTTGCAATTTTCATTTATATTACTAAAATTCTACTAATTTCTGTTTAACCTAATTTTTAACATAATTTTCTGCAACGAACTAACGTAAATTCATGTCTTTTTTGACACAAGCGGTAATTTAGTTTGCAACGTTGTCTTATTGAAATTGTGTTTTGAAGAGAAGATCTAGAAGAAAAATAAAATAAGTTGGTGAAATAAGTTCAAATAACAATAAAATATGAAAGTTCAAATAACAATAAAATATGAAAGTTCAAATGACAAAACTTCGAAAATACAAAAGTTCAAATAACTAAACTTCGAAAGTAAAAAATTAAAGCAACCCGCAGTCAGTTAGGTTTTTAATTTTTCTCATTTTATGAATAATTTTTCTGCGAAGCAACCCCCGATGGCTCCAGGCCGCACACATTAGGAGTTTTTTTATTTTTCTCATTTTATGTATAATTTTTCTACGAAGCACAGGAAAGGTAATTTGATTAAGTTTTTTTATTAAAATAATAAGAAAATATTTCTATTTTCTTTTACTCGTATGTATTTTACATTTTTTTATAATATGCGCCCAGTTTGTCTTAACATCGATTATGTTAATTTGTGTCAGATTTCTTTGGTATTTGTAATTTAATTTACAATTTGGCAACATTGAATAGAATAGAATTTATTCGTCAATAAAGTATTTTTACATTTTTACAATGTTAAAAAAAAACTTATCAGACTAGTCAGCCCATACACAGTACGCCCATAGAAAAAACAGAAAAACAAAAACACTATTCACACTGTCCAATTCATAGAAGTTTAAAATTCTAGAGCTAAGATAATAGATAATATACAGAAAACTAACACAAAAAACAGTTAAAATTAACATTAGGTAAAATATATTGTAAGTTATAAAATTAATATGCTAAAAGTTCATCAACAGAGTAAAAGGCATTGCCTGCAAGAAACTGAAACAGCATAAATTTGAATTTTTTAAAGTTTTCTATATTGCCTAAAATTCTAACACAATGGTTAAACAAGATAGCTCCTTGATAATACGGAGAGTTTTGACCCACTGTTAATCTTGAGAAGGGTGTACGAAGTTCGCCACCTCTTCGAGTAGGGTAGGATAGGGGTGTATCATATTATTAGTTGTTTGATGTGAAAGATTTTTTTTAATATGTAACACCGATAGATAAATAAACAAGCATGGAAGAGTTAATATTGATAACTTGATAAAATGTTGCTGACAATGTTCCGAAGGATAGGCTCCTATCATGCATCTAATAATTCTTTTTTGCAAGAGAAAGACTTTATTCATATGGGCCGAATTTCCCCAGAAAATCAAGCCCCATGAAAGTACCGAATGCACTAGTCCGTAGTAGGTTAGTTTTAGTACATCCAAAGTCACAGTTGGTTTAAGTTGTCTGATGACTAAGCAAATGCTACATAGCTTAGATGCAAGATTATCTATGTGGCTTTCCCATGTGAGCTTGATCGATTGTTAGACCTAAAAACTTGACCTCTCTTACCTGGTGAAGAGATTTATGTTCAATTTTTATTAATTGACCTACGTCGAGGCTTGAATTTTTTGGTTGGAAAAGCATAAATACTGTTTAATTAGAATTAAGATAGGCCATTATTTGAGCACCAATGTTGGAATTCATTTGCGCTAATATTTGAGGCAGAAACTGTATCAGACAGATTGTTTTCAGCAATAAGTTGATTAGTGTCATTAGCATAACCAACGGTAGTTACTCTAGGTGTTGGACATGAGTATTCTAAGTCGCTCATAAACAAGATGAAAAATAGTGGGGCTAAAACTGAGCCCTGGGGAACTCCTTTTGTTATTAGCCCGGGAGCAGATTTAGCATCTTCTATAGCTACAATCTGAGATCTTCCCCGCAGATAGGAAGCAGCCGTCATTCGTGACACCTCGAACTCCTATGCGATACAGCTTTTCTAAGAGAAGATCATGATCTAAAGTGTCAAATGCTCTACTAAGATCGAAATAAAGAGCTAGTGGATATTTTTTATCATTTAGGTGATTATAGACATTATTGCAGAGTTCACTTATTGCAGTTTCTGTTGACCTTTTTTGTCTAAAGCCATGTTGCCAGTTGGATATTAGTCCCTTCTGTTCTAAAAAGTTGCTTAATCTCATATTGTAGCAGTCAATTATTTGAGCAAATTGCGACTGTAGACTATATTTCTGTAGTTGCTAACCTCGTTTACGGACCCTTTATTCTTAAATATGGGTATTGACTTTGATATTTTCAGTACATTCGGATAGATGCCCATACAAAAAAAGACTTATTAATTATGTGTGAAAGTGGATATGACATAATGTCACTTACTGGTTTTAGAGCTTTCCCATGAACTCCCTGGTGTTGTTTTTTAGTTGTTTTAGATATGATTTCCTGTGTCTCATAAGGTGTGGTTGGAGTAAGAAAGTGAAAATTGAATGAGGATGTAGATTCAACACATGTGTGACTGGTTTCTGTGCTTTATTATCCAGAAAAAAATCATTAAAGTGATTACATAATATATTTTTATCAGACAACTTTTTATCAATTAAAATTTTTAAAGTATGGTTTCTATTATTTCTTGTTTCATTAATAATTTTCAAGCTTTCTTTACTGACATTTTTAGAGTTTTTGATTCTATTGTTGTTAAATTCTAATTTTTGTTTCTTTACTATATTTTTATATATTATTTTTAAATCTTTATATCTATTTTTAATAATTTCATTGTTTGTTGAGTTTGCTTAAATAATAAATCACAAATGGTCTTTAATTTCGTTGGTAATCCATGGCTTTGTTTTTGTTTTTATTTTTACCAGTGGAAAAGCATTTAAATAGTGAAAATTAAAAATCGAATAGAACTCATTAAAAGCATTGTAAATATCAGTGATTGGATTGTAATTTTTTCCCAAGATTCGTGCAGTAGCAGATCTCTGAATGTATTCAAGTTTGCATCAGAATAAACCCGTCCATACATCTGTTTGGTGCTTGCTTTTGCAATATCTTTTTTGAACTCACACATTTGAAATATATGATCTAATAGATGTGTTTCCCTCACAACAGTAGAGACAGCAGTTATATTTGAGAATATAGCATCAATGCTGTTATTTATAGGTGTACGCTTGTTTGTCAATGTAATTGTGCATGTCAAATTCTTTAAACATGATTACTGTTTTTTTTTGATTGTGTATTGTTTAGTAAGAAGTTAACATTTAAGTCTCCACATAAAATGTAGTAACAATTGTTGTTCTTAAGACAATTTGACAATATAACCTATAAAATCAAGATTTTTAATTACAATTTTCTCGAAAAATAGTGGCTTTTCCGCATGTTTTTTTTTTAATTTTAATTTTTTTTGCGAAATTCGTGCATTTGGATTCTTCCCCGGACCCGAGAAAAGCATACAGGTAGAGACAAGCAGACAGGTAGAGGCAAGAGGAAGAAAAAAAAAAATTTTTGTTTTGTTTTTGCAATTAATTTAAATAATATTTTAGATCATTGAACCTACCCCGAAATTAAGATTTATTTATTGATTGGAAGTCAGAGACAACCAAAGGTTTCCATATCAATAGATATATTTATGTCTGCGTTTAACATCTGGTCGTTTATTGCAGTTCGAAGTTACGCGTCCTCTCTCTTTCCTAGTCTTAAGGTTGCTAATTCTAACTAGACCTAGATCTAACCTGCCCACCTTCCTTCCTACAGCCACCAAACCAATATGGCGCAGTCAGTAGGATGACTATCATATGATAACACGATTAAATAAATTAGTTGCTATCTAGATCTCGTTATTTGAATGCCTAACCAGTCCATCCATCAAACTGATATTTTACACCAAAAAAGTCTTAAGAATAAATCAATTACTTAAACAAAGAAAAATACAGTCGTCAAAATATATTTTTATACAGAATGGCAGCACTATTTTATATTTTTACACATTAAAAAACTGTTAAAACTACTTTAAACATCTCTCGAATATTTGGCTTTTCACTATAAACATTCAAAAAAATTAACAATAAATAAAAACTCAAAATAAACTCTAACTATTTAAAAATTATATAAATATTACGATTCTTCCATAGATAAATCGTCTCGCTCTTCTTTAATGGTAACTAAACAAAAATCGGTTGCAGCACTAATATCATTATACCTTTTATTTGAATTACCACAGCTACCTTCGTGTGATGCATTTTTAACTTCTTCAACAGATACATTTCTATGAGTAAGAGTATGTATTATATGTTCAGACTTATTTCTAGTGACGTATTCACATTCGACGCAATGAAAACTGTTTTGTTGGTGGTCTTCGAGTGATGATTTAGAAAAAGTAACGAAACTACATTTCGTGCACTGCAACCTGTTGATTTGTTGAATCGTAGTTGTTTGCAGCAACATTTGATGCTTTGATAAATGTTTTTCAAGCATCTCTTCAGAATGCGACTTATACGGGCATCTTGAACATTTCAAAATTGCTTTTTGTTTTATTACAGCTTTTGTATGCAAAGTACTAGGTGTGAGATTTGTTTCTAAAGTTTTTTTCAATATAATTGGAATTTCTTCTATTGCCCCGGTATTATGGGCGCTGTTAGTATGTTTAGTAAGAGCATTTTTACTGCTTGTTTTGAAATAACATTCCTTGCAAAAGAGTTCGGGTTTTGTTGATTTCGAAATACCTGCAATTTCTCCAGTATCATCAGCCTTATGACAACTTTTGAGATGGGTGTCTAAAGTTCCTTTACAATTAGATTTAAAAGCGCATTCCTTGCAAGAAAACGTCCTTATATTAGAACTCATTTCCACCTGGAAATTATCGTGAGTTAAACTGTGTATCTTCAACAAAGCTTGAGATTCAGTTCTATAATCGCACCCATCAAATTCACATTTCAACATTTTTAATATAATTTCTTCATTGTCATGTTCGTTTTCGCAATGTTTGGTGAAAAAGAATTTATTTTTTGTTTTAAACGTACAAAAGGGACATTTGAAATATTCTTTTAATATTATTCCGTGTTTGGATTTCATATGGTTAACATAAGTTATCTCCCATTTCGTTTTATAGTTTATACAAAATTCGCAAATCATATAGGCGTCTTCTCCGGACAGATGTTTGACCTTGTGAGTACGTAAATTATGAGAAAATTTCGTTTTGTAGCTGCAAGAATCGCAATGGTGCAGTTTAGCACTGAAAACAAAAGAAATAGTAGAAAAAGTTTAATAGAGGTAGTAAAAGTTACGTTAGAGCTATTAAATATGCAGGGACGCGCCAAAACCTACGCTTCGTCACACAGTGTGGAATCGAACATAGCATTAAGTCAAATTTGTTTCGATAAATAAATAAAAGTACGTTTACTTTAAAAAATATTTTTTTTCTACATCCTAATGGAAACACACTACTGAACGAATATAGTTCATATTCATTCTAGTAGACTCTGTGCGGATACGAAATCCACCAATCACAGTTTTATATTTGATGAGCGGGCTATTATTTTTAAAATTTTTAAATAAGTGATAACTTTCAAAATAATTTTTGTTAGTGATTCTTGTGAACCATCAGTAAATAATAGCTTTCTACAAGATATTCTTTTATATTTACAAATAAAATTGTAAATTTTAATAAACTATATAAAACCAACTTTTATGGGTATTGAAAAAAAAAGCTGTATCATTAACGCAGGGGTATAAATAATACTAACTTCCAAGCGAAAGGTCTGGGATTCAAATTCGGAAAAGACTGATTCCTATCTGTGTTTGATGGTGCAGATCTACACTAGATCGCTTTGACTGTGGATCGTCTAATTTGGTGTACATCATCACAGGTGATAAAACATGTATACTGCTATGATCCCGAAAAAAGCAACAGTCAGTTTGAGTCTTTGAGAATGAGTTGGCTCCAACAAAAGTTGTTTTTTTGGAATTACTAGGCATGTTTCCACTGTAGCACTGGAGGATAGATGTGCTGTTAATTCAGAATGGTCCACTACACAGTGTGTTTGCCTCAGATTATCCAAAAGGTTCGCGAAAACCGTCCAAGAGGAAGGATCATCTTGAATCAAGATAACGCTCTGGCTCACACTGCTGAACATTTGAATGCCCAGAAAAGAAATAATGGGTCATTCGCCGTATAGTCCAGACATAGAACCTAATGACTTCTTATTTCCGTGGGTAAAGGTTAAATTACGGGGTTTACGTTTTACATCGGCCGAAGAAGCCGTTGATATCTTTAAAAATGAAATAAACTACAGCCAGAAGATTGGAGAAAATGTTTCCAGGAATGGTTTTCGTGTATGCAAAAATGCATTGACTGTGGAGGAGAATATTTAAAAAAATTATAAATAAATGTATTTTTTGTGAATAAACTGTCTTTAACTTTACTAGGTTCAACAGAAAGAGAACAACCCATGAATTCTTTGTAAATCACTGTCACTTTTAATGGAATAAGCAAATTTAATTTTTTTTATATATACATCATACCTATATGGACGGCGCATCCCTATAGATTTAATAAAACTAGTATAGAAGCTAAAAACTAGCTCACCCAGTTGGATCGTATTCTTCTTTATCTCCTATAGACGCCGTGTTATCTTCTTCAAGTTCTGTTTTAATTTCAATTTCGTCTAAATCAATTTTAGGACCGCCATTTTCATTTTCCTTTCTATCATCTTCATTTTCTTCTTTTATTTCCAAGGGTTCATCAATTTTTTCTAAGTCAATATTGACAGTCATGTCATCAGGCACTGGTACGTTTACTTTTCTACGTTTTTTAGTCATTTTGAGTATGAATTCAGGTAAGTCGGGGAAAATGGAAGGTATGGCATCTGGCTTGAGTCTTGGTCGTTGATAGTTTTCCTAAAATTGAGTCTTTAATAGGTATTTAATACATTTTTGTTAATAGAGTAATAGTATGTAATTCCAGTTTATATTTAACAATTCCAAAAAAAATATAGTAAGATAATTTATCACAAAGTAATCTTTTTTTATTTTATTTATTTACGGAAAATCTCCTTTTAAAAAATAATTATTATCAGTAGATATTTTAAACCTAACCTAAAGTATCACACAAAAAAGAAAAAAAAACTTAAATATCACAAAAAACTTAAAGCTAAAGCTAACTTGATAAGTAATCCCTCAGCTGATTTTTAAACCTAATCCGACTAACTCCCAAAAGATCAGTGTGTCTGTTAATTTCATTTCCTTGCCTTTGAAATCTTGTTAAAGGACTGGTGAGTCCGTAGTTCGTATGATGGAAGCTAATTGAAAATAATGGCCTTTCTCTAATATTTATGTTGTTTAATCTAAAGATTATTAGCTCCAACATATCCGGACAAGCTATATTCCCTTCCAGGAGGTTATAAAGAAATAAAAGATCATTACTAATTAACGTTTTCTCAACTGACAATAATTTTAAATAGTTATTAAGCTCCCTCTTAGAAAAATAAGGCATATGTCACCTCCACTGACAAGTTTTTAGAAACCTATTTTGAACTGCTTCTAAATTTAAAATGGATGCTGCGCACTAGTGTTAAGTAAAGGGTTCGGAATGTAGGCACAGAGAATTCCCTAGAGTTCCTGGTAACAAATCCCAATGTTTTCAGAGCTCTACTAATGATGGATCTCATGTGAGGGACAAATGTCAAAGAACTATCGAAGATCACACCTAGATCCTTGATTTCACTAACTTTCTCCAAAACAGTAGAATTGATATTATAAAAAAAATTTATAGGGTTTTTTGATCTTGTGAGGGTGATTGTAAAACATTTACGTGGATTTAAAGACATGGCATTATTTAAAGCCCAATTAATAAAATAGTTTAAATCATCCTGTAACTTCAAACAGTCAGGTAAGTTTAAGATTTCCATGAATAATTTCAGGTCATCGGCGAATAGTGGGAACTTACAATATTTAAATCCTGAAGCCACATCGTTAATAAATATATTAAATAGTAATGGTCCCAAATGAGATCCTTGGGGGACACCTGAACTTACATTTATTGGAATCGAAGTAAAACTTTCAACTTTGACATATTGAACCTTGGATAGCAGGTAACTTTCTAACCATTTCACTAAGTAGTTTGGACACCCGAATTTCACTAGATTCCTTAAAAGCAAATTATGGTTCACCGTGTCAAATGCCTTCGAGAAGTCAGTGTAAATTGAGTCAACCTGACACCCCCTCTCGAAGGCAGAAATGATATAATGTTCGTAGAGCAGTAAATTTGCATTAGTAGACTTACCTCCCATAAACCCATGCTGTTGTTCAATCAAAATGTTCTTGCAATGCCATGAAAAAGGTTTATATAACAATAATTCTAATAATTTAGGTATTGCATAAAGTAAAACTACAGGGCGATAGTTAACTATGTCATCTTTCTAACCATTTTTAAATATGGGGGTAATGAAACTATCACGCCATTTTGCAGGAAACTGTTGTAATTCCAAAGAGGAATTAAATAAAAACTGTAGTGGTTTGGAAAGAGTGAATTTACATTTTTTCAAAAAATAAGCAGGTATTCCATCTGGACCATAACTCAATTTATCTTTTAGGGAGATAATACCATCATAAACATCACTTAAGGAAAACTGTATAAAGGGAATATCAGGCTGGTTAAAAGCATTATAATGAAGGTTTGGCTCATCTACAATATCTTTCTTATAAACACTGGAGAAATGCGTAGCAAACAAATTACTGATATCTTTCTCATTATCAGCAATTGTACCATTATAATACATTCTATTGGGAATAACATGGTCTTGTTTCAAAGAATTAATGTGGTTCCAGAAGTATTTTGTATTTTCACAAACCTTCAGATCTATACCAGAAATATAATTTTCATAATTTAGTTTTGATAAATTTTTACATTGAGACCGAAGGTTAGAAAAATTTAAGTAATCAACAGCTGAGCGAGTACTTTTGAATGCAGCATGAGCTGCCTTCTTGCGAGAAATCAACTTTTTAAGTTCAGCTGAAAACCATCTAGGGTATACTGATGGTTTATATCTCCTAACAGGTACACATTTCAACACTAAATATCATTATTGACTAAAATACCCTCCCAATTAATTGGAGCAAAATAATTATTTAAAGTTACATAATCCGTTTCTTTAAAGTCATAAAAAAAAATAATGTCACAAGACAAGGGTCTAATATCACTGACAGTTAATTCACATTAAATTGCAACATGGTGGAAGTTATTAGGCAATAAGGTGTCTACAGCTGTCTCGATAGTAAAACACCATCATAAAACCTTATTTAGCATAGTATGCATACAAATAACATGTTGAAAAAAAAAGTATGCATCAAATCTACTAATTATTATCAAAATATTATGAAATTCATTTCTTTAGAGTCTCTAATGAGGGGTAAACCACCTGCAAAAGGGGTTCACCATAATTCAATTCCATAAATATTTCCATAGAATTCCACTACAACTATAAATAATTCATTCCACTTATTTCTAGTGGATCCCATTAGAATTCCACTATGACCCCCACGGAATTCCATTATAACACATACTAGAACCCGAAGTAAAACCAGAAATAAACCATAGATATGGATCATCTATATGTACAATGGGCTTAAGGCCTCTATGTCCCCCGTCTGGAGCCGCCCTTGCCCCCATGGCACTTAGGCCCATTGAGAAGAAAATTTTTATGATTTATGAGCCTTTTATTCAAAAAAATATGCTAAAAAGGGAATATCTGAAGGCAATGGCCCTCCCGAAAATTCATCCTGGAGCCGCCCTTGCATGGGGGTAACCCACCCTCCACATGTTACAGACAGATTTACCATCTATGTATGGACTCTACACCCAGTAAGAAATGAGATCAGCGCTATGTTAATATATCTTTCATTTTGAAACGATTCTAAGCAAACATACTAGACATGATTTTGAATTGACACTTATACTTAAAAAAATTGCTTCTGGATTCACCGGAAACGCCATTATTTTCGATTTCCAAATATATTTTTTTTTTTTCATACAAAGAATCATGAATTGAAATATAATGTTCTAAGTGGTACATAATGCATATTGTCATATTGTTAATAAAAATTTTACCTTTAAGTAAAGGTAAAATAACTTTCAATAGGACAGGTGCTATTTAAAAAAGTGAGATATTGGTAAAAACAGGTTAGGAATATATTTTATATCTGAAGGATTTATTTTTAAGTCAATTGGTAAAATAGCTTTTGTATTGAGTTATTCAAAGCTGTTAGAACATTATTTTCTCATGGCTCCTGGCAACACTGACATATTATGTAAATTGGACCGTAGATTCCAAAAAAAAAAAAACAAAAAATATACAGAATGATCCATTAATGGCATTTCCAGTGAAATCAGAAGTCATTCATTTTATCTAAGTATAAGTGTTAATTCGAAATTATGTCTAGTTGGTTCCAAATTTGATCTAAATCGCTTAATAAATAAAAGAGTTATCAAAGTAGCCCTAGTTTCATTGTCACCCAGTATACAAGGTGTTCCAGAATAGACGGAAAATTTCACAGGATTTCTAGAGGCTTATGTTATGGGCTTATCTCCACTATTTGAATGCCCCCTTGAATGAAATAAAAGTATAAAACAAGTTGTGAAAAAATAATATGAATATTTCGAAGTGTTATGTACTTATAAGGAGATTTTGTATTCTCTGAAAATTGTATTCATAATTTTGTAAGCTCTAAAAAGTGTGGAAGCAGAAAAAGTATATAGTAAGGTAAATGCACCAATCGTCGACATTGAAAAGATGAATATTTAAACATTCCTGGTCTATCACAGCATTCAGCTATATCAGCGAAATATCGGAGATGCTTCCTGCAACATTAGAAATCGCATTATTCTGTTTGTGGGCATTTTCTTTATGGCCATACATCTGAACACATGATAGTTACACAAGTAAATAATCAGTAAGTATTATTGTTTTTTACTTAAGGTTAAGTTAGATTATTACCTCAATACATATTTTTGTGCTTATTTAATCAAAATATGCGTGTAGCGTGGGTGTCGACTTTTGGGTATTTGAAATCATGGTGGTCCTTAACTAGAAAGAGGTGTCGACTTTAGGAAACACATTAAATTTTTCGGTTTTCATGTGCGAAGCACTACCCTAATCATATAAAATCATATTATGATTTTTTTTAAACCCCTCAAAATTAAATACAGAAACACAAAAACAGAGAAGTTATGTAGAGGCACAGATGACCTTTTTTTTCTTCTCAAAGATAAATAAATACAAAGAGGATTAGAGGACCTGTTTTAACTCCCCAAAGATAAAATACAAAAACAGAGATGTTATATTGGTATTACATTTTTGTCTTCAGTAAATTATGTATTACATTGCTGGACAATAATGACGTTTTGCTGGACAAATATTATTATGGTATTTTGCTGTACGTATTATTGTGTTATTAATTCAATTTAGACAGATTTACTTTCTTTAGATGCTATTAAGAAATAACTTGAAATATGCAAAATTTATTTCCAAAGATTCGAATAGTGTTAAATCAATGGGTTAAAAACATTTTAACAATTACAATAAATATTCTTTTGGTTTCTATAATTAAAGTTTACCACAATATCTTTCCTAATCCGTTTTCTAAGTATATCGTCATCCTTAAAATGTTTTTCGCAAACATAATCTTTTGGATTAATAGGTCTGTCTTCTCTAGCTATGGCATCTTGCCATTTACTTAGAAAAAAATCATCATCAGGAACTTTGTACAGGGCAGCTTTTTCTGTGCACTTTCTATAACCCGTATAGCAATGTGGAACCGCACATTTTCTACCCATTTTTCAGAATTTCCTCACATTTTTTGGCTTTTTCGGGTACCAAAACAAACAAGAGTAAATAAAAAACATAACCTCATTTTCATTATATTATGGGATCGTGATTATGGGTGTGTTCGTGTGATTCGTTTCTATTTTACTAGTAGGTAGGCAATACATTTTACAGTAACGAATTACAGAGCTGTTATATACAGCGTGTCCCAAAAAGTTTGATACAAATGGGAAAATATATTATTCAATGAGCAGGTGATGATGGCTATTATGATAGGTATTACCCGCGAGTAGAATACTATACTTTTTCTATGATAATTAAATGATCTTTATCGGTTGTAAGCAGGTAGGGTTAGGTTTAGCCCAGAACACTGCGGCCTCTTGGATCTATTGTATTCCCCTGCTTTCCCCGTATTCAGGTACTATCTTTGGAATAGTCCTGTGTCTTTGGTTAGTTTTAATAGGTTCCCTACCAAGTGTTCCTGGGGCGTTCTTTCCAGTTCTATGCCGAAAAGGATGAAACGTCGCCTAGTATAAGAGCTTCGAATTCGTAGATCATATGGTATGAGGTTTCTTTCTCTTCCATGCAGAGTCTACACGAAGGTGTTTCAGCAAGCAGTGCCCCGTTAGTAATCCCACAATGGTGGATATCTGAGGCCTTGCGAGTTGTAGTGCCTCAGTAGCCATGCGTGGGTTTGGTCCCCTTAGCATGAGCTTACTGATTCTGTGCCCTCTTATCTGTTGCCAGTGAATTTGGTGTTTTGTGGTCATCCACCTCTTCACTGCCTGTCGAGCAGAGGTTTTGCTTATCCCAAATGCAGGTTCGGGTCCTGTGAATGGTAGATCTGATCCCTCTTTGGCGAGTTCATCAGCCTTTTCATTTCCTTGGATACCTTTGTGCTCTGGTACCTTGTTGTGGGTTGTCAGATCATTTAGTATTCCAAGGCAGTTCCAGACAAGCTTTGACTTGATTCTGTTTGAATCAAGACCGCTAAGCAAGTATTTATCTATCTCCTTACTTACCTCGTTCCAGTTACAGTTGACCTGGAAGAGTCTGTTAAAGGTTAGGAGGGGTGTCATTTGATCTGGTCCAATATTTAATATAGAATCATTTACTTCATGCGTTATTCTGGTATGTTTTATATGTCCCAGTGGGTTCCAGTTGTTAGAGATTTCCAGTCTGTATGCACTCATTCTGGCCTCCCCCTTTATGACTAGGTCAAGGGGTGGGAGGTTTAGAATGATTTTCATAGAGGCTGTCGGTGTACTTCTCAGTGTTCCTGTAATACAAAGGCTCTGTACTCCTGAGAGGATATTGAGGGCTGTTTTCTGGTGTACTTTTGGCCACCAAACAACCGCTCCATAAGTTATCATGGGTCTTGTTATTGCCAAATATAGCCAGTGGACCATTTTTGGTTTTAATCCCCATATTTTTCTAAATGACCGTCTCCCTACAATGAGAGATATTTTACATTTGTTGGTCACTTTTTGTAAGTGTTGGTTCCAAGTAAGTTTGCTATCTAGAATTAGACCTAGATATTTTAATTGGTTCGTTTTGTTTAGCATTCCTCCAAACAGAGTCGGAATTTCTAAAACCTCCAACCTTGTTTTCCGAGTAAAGGTTATGAGTTGTGCCTTGTCAGGGTTTACCAAGAGGTTTTCCCTAACGCACCACATTTCTGTCAGCCTAAGAGCTCTTTGCATGAGTTCAAAGACTGTGGTTATGTGTGTTCCCTCGGATAAGGATGACTATGACATCGGCATATCCTTGATATTAAATGATAGAAACAAGTTATGCAATATTTTATTTCATTTATTTGTTACAAAATTAATTGTGAAATTTGAACAGTTTTGAAAATTAACAGAAGCTTTACTAATATTAACTGTTGTAAATAGTTTTGTGCAACCTAATAATTTGTCTGGGGAAATTAAAATTCGGCATTGACTTAACATAAGGCTCTAAAACACACAAAAGGCTTTTAAAATACATTAGAGAAGTATATATCCATTCTCAATGCCAGTTATTATCAGTTTAATGTATTTTTCTCATTGAAACTATCATAGTTGAGGGTGTTTTCCAGGAAAGCAAGTAATTTATTTTGAAGTATGACAACAGTGCAAAGCAATCATAGTAGACGTAAATACTCTGCTTAGTCTGCTTTATGAAATCCATATCAGCTTCGAGGAGAAGATTCAAGAAAGATTCAACGGCTTTGTTGCCAATAACGTTGCTTTAATCTGCGACGACAGTGTTGATCTCGGACATTATCTACCGTTAGATAAAGATACAAACTACACGCTGACAACGTTCCATTTTACCTCGAACATGGAGGAAGGATACAGTTTAAAAATAGACCAGTCAAATTATTGAAATTATTTCAACAAAATGATATCAGTTCTGGAGGTAAATAATAAACAAATGAATTAGTTATTCAAAAAATATATAAGATAGCGATCTTCTCAATTTTTTTGAAACTATCTTTGAAGAGTGAGTAGAAGAAAAAGGTTTTAATAGAAGAAGATTTTTGTAACTGTGTAAGAGATTAAATAGATTTTGCAATATTTTGTTTATTAATTAATACTGAATATTTCTTCTATTGTCGGTATTCAAAAAATCAACAACTATTAAAACAACTTTTCTGTACAGGGTAAACGTCTAATTTGATTGGCCTGTAAAATCTCTTTACAACATGAGTTACTATCTATAATTGTGGTATTCTACTATAGTAGAAACTATTCGGAACAGTTGATTCATTAGTGGACACTAAGTGGACACATCAGTTTTCTTTAATCAACAAATTTAACTTGGAATCTAGACAATAATTTAATCATTAATTAACTTCTAAATTGTAGGCATACCAAATTTCATTATTTGCTCTTTCCGAAATATTTATAAACCACTCAGAAGTTTCAGTTAAATATTACTACTTTTTTGGCCTTATATAATAAATACAAAAACACTAACACCCGTATGCATAGTCGATCGCCAGCGATTCGCCAAAGGTTCATTCCGGCGTATCGCCAGCGAGTCGCTGGCGATCTGCTAGCGAAAGTCCGAAAAGGTGGCGAACCGCTGGCGATTGTCACCGGCATGTCATTTCTCGCAAGTTTTCATGTTCTTTTTTCACGTTATCACCGGCATCTCTCGCATTTTATTATTAATTTATTTCTTAAAACTCAAAAAACAATGAACGAATATCAAATTTTTCCCTATAAAAGAACATGAAAACTTGCGTGAAATGACATGCCGGTGACAATCTCCAGCGAGTCGCCACCTTTTCGGGCTTTCGCCGGCGGATCGCTGGCGATGCGCCGAAATGAATCTCTGGTGAGTCGCTGGCGATCGACTATGCATACGGCTGTATGAAAACGACGTTGAGATCATTATAATCGGGACTCTGTTCTCATATTCTTAAAACTGTAAATTTAATAAAAAAAAATTGCTTCGAACCAAATACATTACAACATAGAGACAAAATGTTTCATTCATAAATCCCATACAATTGCATACTGTTATTGTTTTACAATTGTTAGTAAGTGGAAGAGAGAAAGACAGATTTCTTAGGACCGGCTGGCAACGTTGTAAACAGAGTCCATAATATGTTCGCCAGTGCCTTGTTTTCAGAAATTGGTAATTTAGTCCGTACAAATGCGATTTTTTAACACCGAGTTTATCACAAACTGTTCGTATTCATAGTATTTGAAGTACTTGAAAGAAAATGAACTACAAAATAATGTAACTTTCAAATTTGCAATTCTGCACGTACTTTCGTCCATTTTTTCCCAGCCCTTCTAAGATAGTTAAGTATTTTTTACTTACATCGGCTATGTATACCCCTTTACCAGATTTTCTAGCTACGACACTTATTCCTAATCCCTTTCCAGACTTTTTAAATAAATCTGCTTCAACAGGCGTGTATTCAATTGCGTTAGGTCGATATAAGATCATTTTAATCTAAAAAAAAAAAAAAATTAATTGAAATAGTTTAAAAATTGTTACCAAGGCAGTGTACTAGGACCGATTCTTTACTTATTATACACCAGTGATATCCTTCAACAACAATGTGTCAAAATAGCAACATTTGCGGATGACACTGCAATATTGGCAGTTGACGGAACTAATATAGAAACCCAAGAAATACTCCAAGAAACCTGCAACAAAATCAATCGAAGGGCAAAACAGTGGCAAATAAAAATGAGAGGGCTATAAAAAACATTTATTGATAATTTTTCAATGAAGTCTTTTCCAGTCATTGCATTTTTGTATTCGCGTAAACCATTTTTGGAAACATTTTCTCCAATACTTCTGAGATTAGTTTAATTATTTCATTATTAAATGCATCAACCACTTCTTTGGCCAATGTAAAACAAGCCTCGTAATTTATCCTTTACCTGCGGAAACAAGAAACAGTTATTAGATGCTAGGTCTAGACTCTATGGCGAATAACCTATTTTTTCTATGTTTTGGGCATTCAACTACTTATTTGTTCGAGCAGCAGTGTAAGCCCGAACATTATCTTAATGCAAGATGATTCTTTATTTTGGATGTTTTTGCGATTCTTTTGGAGAACCTGAGGCAAACTAGGGGAAGAAGCGTTAATAAAACTAAAAAGAAACATGATATCAAAGCAGAATACTTCATTTAAAACCTTATTTTATTACTAATTCAATGAACCGCATGACATTAATTTAAATATCTCCATATTGCACTTGCAACAAAATAAAGTTAGCAATATCTTTGAAGGGTGGGTGGCTCAGTGGTAAAGTCTCTGCCTGTAGATCCAAGGGTCTCAGGTTCGAATCCCATTGTTGGCCGTGATTTTTTTATTTAATTTAAATTATTTAAAATTAATTCTGATGCCTTGGTAGGATTCCCCACTCGACCATTCACTGTTGGGTTCTAATTAACAGTGCTGTTCCTAAAGTGGCGCTGGGAAACAGTAACAAAGTCTACACAAAACACGAAGCTAATAACCTTAGCAGTTGATGCCGAAGACACCAAATAAAAAAAATACCTAATGCAAACAGAATGACTTAAGATAGATTATTGCAAGTGAAATATGGAGATATTTAGATTAATGTTATGTGGCGAATTGAATTAGTAATAAAATTAGCTTTCAAATGGAGTGTCACACTTC